GCGTTTCTTCATTTGCGTGTGTTGTGAGGATTTGCAGCGTTTCTTCATTTGCATGTGTTGTGAGGATTTGCAGCGCGTGTGTTGTCAAACTGATGAAGATGTTTTCTTAATTTGCTGGTGTTTTTTCAATTTGCATGTGTTTTCTTAAGTTGCAGCGCGTTGAGCTCTCTCGGCCACCGTAATAATATCATGATAATTTTTGCATTTTCCTTACCGAATGACGTGTCCTGTCAGCAAAAACCTGTCCACGGGCGTTTTTGATTACTTTCTGTTCACTGTAAGTGCCGGCATGCAGTGTTGCCAGATATTGATACTAAAACAAACAAAAAATAAATCAAAATCAACCGAAATTATTTCCAATCTTTTGCAAATAAGATCAAATAAAGATATCGCTGACTCTAAACTGCAACTTCCTACTTTATTAACTTTCTAAAGTGTTAAATTAAGTGGAAAAGACCACAAACGCTTATAATAGCTGGATCTGGCTGCGCCCGCGCCCTCACACACAACTCTCTCAAGCCTCCTTCACTCCGCCAACGTCTCGCAGCGATCATTTTCATACCAGGGACGCTACACATTCTTGCAAACTGTCTAAACTGAATTATACATGTCATGCTGGCATTCATACAAGAAGTTTAACAGCAAATTAGTCATTCAAAGAACAAATTTTATTTTTGAACATGAAAAACTTACCGAGGTCCGGACTCAGAGGTGGCCTCATAGCTGGTTAACGGCCTGGTCTTGAGGCCTTGTCTTTCCCCATTCCACTACCAGTGCCCAGAGGCGGACAGTAACTAAGTACATTTACTTGAGTATTGTACTTAAGTACACCTTTTGAGTATCTGTACTTTACTTGAGTATTATTTTTTCTGGAAACGTATGACTTTAACTTCACTACATTTGAAAGACAAATATTGTACTTTTCACTCCACTACATTTCTATCAAGGCCTTTGAAGTAGAAAGTCATTAGCAGCTTTGAAAGTCAGTGGGTGATTTTTTTCTTCTCTAAAAACTGTCTTTTTTTTCAGACAGTTTATCAGTAATCACTCTTGGGGCTACATGAAATGATTTCCCAGCATTTTTTTAGTACTGACCAGTTCCAAATGTGATATTTATTTACAACAATTCAAAAATAAGAAGTTAATATTGTGGTTTATATTAGACACAATATTGTCTGATTTTGCTAAATTGTGTAAGTGAAAATATTACCTATAAAGCCACAGAAGAACTGTTGTAGCAGCACTGCACAGACCATTCTGTGTATGCCATCAAAGTACAGCGAGAGCGATTAGACAGCATTTTTTTTTAAATTTTTGTTTTGATTTCAAATAAGTCTTGCTGTTTTGCTTTTTTGTTAAAGCAGTGTTGCTGTTGTAAATTTATACAGCTACAGTTGTGTTGCTGGGTTTTAAAGCAGGTTTGATTTTTTATTTTCTTCCTTATCAATCTGTATTTACAGCAATTTCACTGTCCACTCTGTTCAAATGTGGATGAATGGCTACACATAGATGTGTCCAGAGCTGTGTGAGATCACTACCATCCTGCTTTTGTGGGGGTGGGTAGGGGTGTTAAATAAGAATTATTTTTGTTTGTTTTGTTTTTCCACCATAGGTTTTTAACTTTCTAAAAGCTCTTTATTCCAAAGATACTACAAGCGAGTCAGTGTATTCAGTAGGTGTATTGTATTGTAAGTTGCTTCAAAGGTATTGCATGTATTACATACAACAATAATAAAACAGTGCATTGACATAAAAAAGGAAATTTACTTTTGGTACTTAAGTACTTTTAAAAGCAAGTACTTCTGCACTTTTACTTAAGTAAAAATCTGTCTTAACAACATTTACTTGTAATGGAGTGATATTTGACCAGCAGTATCTGTAACTTTCACTTAAGTAATGGAGTTGTGTACTTTGCAGTGCCTCATGTTTTTGAGTTGATGTGCAGGTTCTGTGTGAATGTCCCCTCAGGCTGTATGACTCCCACAACTGCTCTGGATGATTTACTTTATTTTTTAACTTTAGTTGGTCAAGGTCTTCCAAACTTTTTATTATGACTGTGACATAACCTTTTATAATTTAAATAGGCCTATATAAAAATGGTGCTTCTGTCAACTGTACATATTGCTAATGTTTTTAAGCAAAGATTCATTACAAAATACACAGCACATTAAAAATGCTACACGTCAAATGGTTGCAACGAAAATAGTGTTATGAATATACGATCAGATAACACCAAAGAACATATCTGAGAATTTCTTAAGAATATTTCAAGAATGGCATATTTCATGAAGTTCATACGAACTTTTTGGAATTTGCCTTAAGACATTTCTTAACTTATCTCTTAAGAAGATTTTTGTGCATCCGGCCCCTGAAAATCAGTAACAGTGTGTTCACACCAAACGCAAATTTAATTATTCGCGCGAGTAGATTACATACAAAGGCAATGCAAAGACGCGAATAGAGGCGAATTCGCGCCAGGCGACGCGAATGACGCGAAATGCGCGACGCGTTTGCAGCGAACGCGAGATATTCGCCTCAATCGCGTCTTTCCCGCAAGTTCAAAAATTTCAACTCGCCTAGCGTTCTCGCGCAAGCCAATCAGCGAAGAGCTTATTGGCACGTCTGGTTGAATCAGACAATAGAAGAGAGCATTATTGCAGCCGTCTGTTATTATATAGGTCTGGAGCATAGAAAACAATTAAAATCAGTTGTAGTGGTAGTTGTATTTTATTAGCATGGCTACAGAGATGCTGCTATCAATAATAAAAATAATAGTAATATCAGTGTATATATACAGTAGTAAAATGTAACACACACATTAATACAGGATCCTAACATTATTCATCCTCCTCTGGATGGTGCTGTGAACCCAGACACGTCGGCGTTTGGCTTTCCATTGTATTTGGGACTTTTTGACAATAGGGCCTTTCGCACCGCAGGAACCTTTTCATAGTACCAGAACTAATTGTGGAGCTACCCACTTTTCGGCATGTTCGCACCGCCGGAACTGGGAGCGATTTTAGTACCGGACTGCCTTTTTCGAGAACCAAATTAGCTCCTACTCCGGAGCAGGGTCTAACCAGCACAACTGGTACTAATCGTGACGTAAGTAGACATTGATTGGCCAAACGCGTACGAAAACGCCCTCCCCCGCCATGATTTAAAACTCCGTGTAAACATACTGTAAGCATGTCAACTT